GCCCCTACCCCCGACCCCCGGCAACGAGGCCGCCGGCGCCTCCGCGCGCGCAGTCCGGGCCAGAGGAAGGGTGGGGCCCGGGCGTGGGTAGGTGCGGGGTGGGGCCCACGGGTGGGGCCCACCCCTTCGCCCCGGGCTCTGCTGGCGGCCGACACCTCCGCCCCTCCTGGGAACCGGTCCCGAGCAGGAACGGCGGGTCCCGGGAAGAGGAGACTCACCCCGTCAGCGTGCGAGGGCGGGGACGCGGGAGTGGTGCTCAGAGGTGGCCACTTTTTCAGTTCAGATTTTTGAATGAGGGAGGACCTAGGAAAGATTGCTTCGTTTAAAAAGCTCGGGCTGGGGGCGGGAAGTTCCTGTGCCCGCAGAGCCATTTGTCGCTTAACATGGGCACAATCAGACGTATTTTGGTGATGCGGTGTTTGTGCTGGTTGGGCAGGCTCAGGCAGTGACAAAATACCATGACAGGACACTGACGCTGGTAACCGAAACCTTGTCTCAGGATGACAAATCTTACCTGCATTTCTCCTTATATGGGGGCAAGATATGGTAAAATGAGTTCGTAGAAAATAAAAGAGAATACAGTTTTACATTCGGGGTTCAGGTTCAGTGAGCATTTATTAGGGACTTTCTGACATTGAGAAATGCTTTTTCTGAATCATTATTACTTGGCTATACAAATGTTTAAGTGAAAGAATTAATTAGCTGCGTTGCAATCATTTCAGGCAAAGTGAACAGAGTATCTGTGACATTATATCAGGCACCTATGTAAGGAAATTGGACTGTAATAATTCACCATGGCGTATGGCTTGCCAAGAAAGAACACAGTGCAAACCATTTTGCGGCACGGTTGTTATGAAGTGTAAGTATTTTTATCATGGTAAGCATTGACTCGGGTGGGGAGAGGCTTTGTTAAAAGTGCTGGACACCCTCATGCTCCCCATAAGGACTATATGAAGTATTTTCAATTGTCTGGATACTGATTTTTTTTTTTAAGGCAACTGCGTTTATAAGAATATGTAAATTATCTTACTTGGTGTTTACAACAAAACACCTTCAAATGAGAAAACTGAGGTTCAGAGAAATTTGAGCAAAGTCACAGTCACGTGGTAAAGAGGTACCCCAGCAAGAGAACCTGAGCCTCCTTATTCCAAAACAACATTTTCTGCTACCATCCACCGTCCTACAATACCTCTTTAGGTAGTTCAAATATACCTAAAAATGTCCTGGTGTCAGGTGTATCTTAACAGAGCACTTAATTGGCGGGCACAAAGAGTCAGTTTTGCGTCCTGTACACTTTGGCAGGCAGTGTGTAGACAACATGGGCTTTGCAATCAAGAAGACCTGGGCTCCAGCCTGGCCCTGCCCCCGGCTCCCTGTGTGAGCTTCTCTGTGCCTTGACCTCTGCATCTGTCTGTGAGATCGATATAACCTGACCCACCTATGTGTTGTGGATTACAAATGAAATAATATATGTAAAGTACTTGCACACTGCCTGGCATATATAATGAACACATAATGAACATGTATTGCTATCACATAGTCGTTTTACTCTCTGCTGCTTTTTTCTTTGGTTTTGGGGTTCGTTTTGTTTTGTTAACCCTTCTACCACAGTTTATGATGTATTTACCATTATGAGTCAATTGAATTTTTCTTTTTAATAATATTCTAAGAAGTAAATGGAGATTTCCTATATGGTTATAAAACTAGAGCTATAGGAAAATCAGAGAAAACTCACCGTTGCATTTTGTTTAGTTTTGTCAGCTCAGTATTTATTTAGACCGTTAACTAGAGGCAAGTACCATTACAGTAAATATCATTATAAACATAATTTTTATATGAAGCTATTCCTACTTCTGAAGAATGAATTGAAGCACTGATTCCTAGGTTTTGGTTATGCAGAATTTTATATCATGAATAATCTCTGCAAAACCAGGGCTTTCTCTTTATTTATTTCAAGAAACTATTTGATATCATAAGAACAGCTCACTTAAAGGGAACAGAATGGTAGTAGCACTCTTTGGAATTCATTTGCTAAGGTAACTCCTTACCTTGGGCTTTTTTTGGTTAAGTGTTTTTAAAAGATTATAAAAATAATATGTTAAAAAAATTCAAATAGTATAGAAGTGTATGAAAGGAAAATAAAAATAGTATCTCTCATACCCTGTTCCTATCCCCGAGTCCCACTCAGAAGTAAAATGTCTTATATTTTTTCTAGAATTTCAGCTGCTATGCAAGACACACACACACACACACACGTATCTTTGTAACACATAGAGTCATAGTGAACTCTCCCTATGTCCAATATATTTTGTATAGCCTATAGATTAAGAGCATAGATTCTGTAGTCTGACTTCTTGGGTTCAAATCCCAACTTCACAACCAACAGCCTTGTGACCTTGGGCAAGTTGTTCTCTGCTCTGCAGTTTCCTAATCCATAATATAAGGATAGTAATAGCACCTGCCTGCTTCATAGGATTGTAGCAATTAAATGAGTTCACATGTGTAAACTGCCTAAAACAGTGCCTAGCATATAGTAAGTACCGTATAAACACCATTTGTTTTATTGCTCATCTTTCCAAATTGACGTATGAGGATGGACCTTATTGTTTTATTACATGTATGTACCACAGTTTAACCAGGCTTTTCTTGATAGGACATTAAGGTGATTTTCATGTTTGTTTGTTTTTTTAAATAAACAACGCTTCAATGAACATTCTTCTAAATACGTCTTTATGACTTGTTCATGTACGTCTATAATAATTGTAGACTTCAAGTCACTCCTTAGGTGATGAAGTATGAAGGAAGGTGGTGGAGGAGTGGTGTGTGTGTAACAGGTCACTCCCCTACTTGGACCAAAGAAGATCTTCCACTTTCTTCTTAATGAGGCCTTGATAAGAGGCTGAACTCATGCTGACTGCAAATGAGAAATTAGCTGATATTTTTTATTTCAGAATTAGGCTAAATAAAACAATGTTTCAGCTTCTTCATGATGATTTTTAAAGTCGTAGTTTGGAATTTCATCCCCTTCCCCAGATCATACCCTCAAAGCTTTAGAGTGTGCCAAGCATCTTGCTCAATATGTGATTGTGCCCTTCTTTCCTTCCTTTTTTTTTTTTTTCCTTTTTTTTGTCTTTTTTTTCGTGTCCGGCAACGGATCGCAACCCTCAGCAGTGCGCCACTGGGCCGGCCCGCTTCTTTCCTTCCTTAATGTGACCATATTTTTGATGAGTCATAAAAGACTTTGGAGCTTATTGTTCTTATATATATCCTCTTACATGGAAAGGTTGGATTGACTTTAGGGAGGCTGCATTGTGAACAGAAGTATCTGGCATAAATTCTGGTTGTTTTTAAATATATCTCTGCATTAGTTAATGTAAGGTTCCATCTCCTGGATAGAGTTGCAACTCTGGAAAATCCTGAATATCCCACTATAAACCAAAATGTCTAATGCCAAATTGATCTGAAAATTAATGAGATGCAGGTGCTCGATAACTGTTTATTGAATGAATTAATGAATTTTTGCCTCAGACAGGACCCTCGGGATCTTGCACTTCTTACAAAGGCTTGGTACACGAGCCTGGCCAACATCAAGTTGCCTTTCTTAGGAGAAATTGAATTTGGTAGTCCTTTAAAACTCACAAAATACAACACCATTAAGGATGGTCTGCTCCCTTCAGCTGAATGTAAGTTTCTTACGATTTGCTTTAATAAATTGTAAATTGTGTGTGTCATTTGCTTCTTATGGGAAAAGTGTTTAAATACGTTTAAATATGCTTATCCGTACCCCTACCTCCTATCTTTGTAGCCCTGTCATCTTGTTTATTACTCAAGAATGTGAATTTTGCTGTATGATATTCACTTTTGACTACATTATGCCTGGTGAAAAATGACAGTCAGATTGCTTTGTAAATTTTATTTTCCAGGCCTCAAACTTGAAAGGGAGTATGAAATGAAGCGACTAAATAAACTTAAATGTCAAGAGAATGTATCTGAGGACATTCAGTTTTCCCTAAGGGAAAGGCAAGTTGGTTTGAGAAGACCTCTTCCACCTAAGTGACAATCATCTCATAATTGAATCTGTACTCTGTTTCCTGCATCAAAAGGGGATAAAGGTCTCTGAATCTTTCACTGTGTAAAGTTTGGTGCAGACATATGAATGTCCACTGGTGGACGCACCAGCACCCATCGAGTGGGTTAGTGGACAACTTGATGGATCTTCTGGGTTCCTGCCACACTCTTGTTCCTTTGCATCACAAGCAACAGCACTGTAAGTAGATGGAAATGCATTTGGAGTTGTGTCATTTGTGCTCTTTATTCTGATTTTTGTAAAATTGCACTTAGGGAAGAGGAGACTTTTTTGTGAGGCATTATTTTGAAGAGACATTTTGAATTTGCATCTTTGACATCCCAAGGAGGGACCAAAATAAAGGTGAGAGAGAAATTCTCTTAAAAAGTGATAAACTTGGCAGATAGTTGTAAGTATGAAAAAAAAAAGATAAACCGTGAAAAGTTTTGTTTGGTCAAGAAAAGTGATAGATGTTATTTTAGTAACTCTCCAGTTTTCAGTTTTCAATGAAACATCATTTATCATTCTCATGTGGTACTTTAAGGTAGCAAGTAGAACTTACTTTTTGTTTTTGTTCTCCTGAAAAATCTTCAGTCTTTTTCCTTCTGCCTAATTTTATATTTTTTCTCTGGAATGACCCTGAAGCATGTGAAATACACATGCATATGTGAAAGTGACATGAAAATACACAGAAGGTCTTATTATAAAGAAAACACAGAGTGGCTGGGGAATGGGAAATTGATTAACTGGAAAGTATTGGCTTTAGATAAACTGACTTTCATAGAATTTGAATTCAATAAATCATACTTGGATATTAATGTTATATTTAAGCACAGTTTAGTGTTTTAAGATGATTCAGTAGGCATTTTAGAATCTTTTGGTATCTTATCCTCGTTATGAAAGGCAATAAGCCATAGTGCTTAAGAGTACAGACTTTAGACCTGACTGCCTTTCTTCAAATCCCAGCTGAATTAGTCCATTTCTGTTGCTTATAACAGAATACCTAAAATTGGGTAATTTATAAAGAAACAAAATTTCTTTCTTTCAGTTTCAAAAGCTGGAAAGTCCAAGGTCCAGGGAATGCATCTGTTGAGGGCCACCTTGTTGGTGGGTGGGGTGACTCTTTACAGCAACTTAGGGTATCACATGGCGAGAATAGGCTGAGCAAGAGTGAGCTAATTTTCTATTTGCTCTTCTTTTAAAACCACCAGAATCATGCCTATTACTCCATAAATGGATCAATTCATTCACAAGGGCACAGTCCTCACAATCTAATCACCTCTTAAATGCCCCACCTTTCATATACCGTAGTAGGTTTTCCCACCCTCTTAATGTTTGTATAATGGGGGTCAAGTTTTCAATACAAGAACTTTTGGGGGACACATTTAACTCATAGCACCAGCTCACCTACTTATAGCAAAGTGACCAGACATAAGTTACTTTGTCTCTGAGTTTAAGTTTTTTCTTATGTGTAAAATGAAGGTAATACTGGTACTTACTTCATAGGGTTGTTATGAGCATTAAATGAAAACTGCCTGGCACCCAGTGAGAATTATTCTAGTGTTAACTACTACTGTGAGTATACCTACCCTGTACCACTGTAGTCTAGGTATAGAAGATGAATACTGAGCTGATTCTGTTGAACTTTGTGGAGACCAGAAATCTTGAATCTTCAGAAATTTGGTTTTGTTCTTGTCAATGAATATGTACAAGGGTACTTCAAAAAGTTCATGGAAAAGTGAAATTGAAAGATAATATGAATCTTTTCATGAACTTTCTGAAGACCCCTCATACTTGCCAGAGCACCTGACTTGATTTTTCTGTTCAAAATATGGCTTCTTTACTTATGGCAAATCCTGATAATTTTCATTTAAAAACAATAATCTCTGATAATCAGCTTGCTTCCTATGTCTTTCTTGTATAGATATCAGTGTGTGGTTTGCCCTCAGAACCCACCAGGGAACCTTAAGCATTTCATACTTCACCTCAGAGACTTGCACCCCTACTTACTGACATTAATTGGGGGTGCAGTTGGCCATCTGTATGCGTGGGGGATTGGTTCTAGGACCCCCGTATATACCAAAATTCATGGATGCTCAAGTCCTACAATTGGACCTGCCAAACTTGCCTCTACATATTGTTGGTATTCCATATAAGGGGCTTCTGCATCCCAGGAATACTGTACTTCTGATCTGCTGTTGGTTAAGTCATGGATGCAGAAACCTCATATAGGTGGACTGGTGCAGTTCAAACTTTCAAAGTTCAACTGTTATAAATTATATGCTTTCATGATACTTCAGAGCTGTTTTGAAAATGAATGAAACATGTGTCTCTTTGCAAAAAGCTTTCCAGAATAAAACATTTTAATATTCCTTGAGAAAAAGTGGAGTTTGTAAAAGCTTTAGCTCCTCCTCATTTTCTTTTTTTTTGTCCTTTTTTTTTGAGACCGGCTGCACCGTGCTCAGCCAGTGAGCGCTGTGAGCGCACCGGTCATCCCTATATAGGATCCGAACCCACGGCGGGAGCGCTTCTGCACTCCCAGCGCCGCACCCTCCCGAGTGCGCCATGGGCTCGGCCCTCCTCCTCATTTTCTTGAGAGAGCTTGCAGCTTTAGATTCTTCTAATTATGTTATGTTTTTAGGCAGATATTTTTGAACCTCTTAAAACTACATGTATTGAAATAAAATTACATTGCAAAATAAACTGAGTAATATGTGTTTATGTGTGTCTCTCTCTCTTGAAATGACATAAGAGCAGGACTTCTTTCATACTTATGTTAGTACTTCAGTGTCTAGCTCAATGCCTAACTCATGTAGGTACTCAATATACATTTATTGATTGAAAATTTCCATATGGTCAGGGCCGGCCTGTGGCTCACTTGGGAGAGTGTGGTGCTGATAACATGAAGGCCACGGGTTCAGATCCCATATAGGGATGGCTGGTTAGCTTACTTGGGAGAGCATGGTGCTGACAACACCAAGTCAAGGGTTAAGATCCCCTTACCAGTCATCTTTAAAAAAAAAGAAAGAAAATTTCCGTATGGTCAAAGGTCTGTAATAGAAAACACTTGATAGTTTTATCCTTACTTCTTGTGATAGAATACTTTTTTATCAGGAGATAGCCATGTTCTGATTGAATATGGGCTCAAACAGTTCAAGAAAAAGATCAGAATGAACAAATATACAACTTTTACGTAAACTATGTTAAAGTTATAACAATTCAATTAAAACTGACAACAACTTAACAACTTAACTTCAATGGCTTACAAAAACTGTTCCTTTACATCACTGTCCTCCCCCACTTTGCTGGTCTCTTTTATAAGGACACTAATCCCATTCATGAGGTCACCACCCTCATGACCTAATTACCTCCCAAAGGCCCTACTTTCTTTTTTTTTTTTTGTCTTTTTTTATCTTTTTTCCGTGTCCGGCAACGGATCGCAACCCTCAGTGTTGCCCCCGTACCGGACCGGGGACCGGCAACGGGATCGCAAGCCTCGGCGTTGCTCCCGCGCCTCGCTCAGCCAGTGAGCAGGAACCGGTCTGTACATGGGATCCGAACCCTCGGACGGGAGCGCCGCCGCGCTTCCCAAGCGGCGCACTATCCAGTGCGCCACCGGGCCGGCCCTGGTCTTGTAACCTATAGGTCTGACTGTGATTCCCTACATTGCAAGTTAAATGTTTTATGATTGTTGACACCTTAGTGAAATTTTCTTGTCTTAGCCGCCACATAAATAAAATAAATAAAATCATACACAATGGATTTTGGGGAGAACCAACTGAGGAAATTAATGTGTACAGTTTCATTGTTATTAACTTGAAGTTTTTTTTTCCTTTTTGTCTTTTTTACTGACCGGTAACGGGATCGCAACCCTCGGTGTCGCGCCCGTACCGGGGACCGGCAACGGGATTGCAATCCTCGGTGTTGTGCCCACACCACGCTCAGCCAGTGAGCGGGAACCGGTCTCCACATGGGATCTGAACCCTCAGCGGGAGCGCCGCCACACTCCCAAGCGGCACACTCTCCAGTGTGCTACCGGGCCGGCCCTACATCTTTTTATATTGTGTATCCATTAACATAGATTTGTAGTTATTTTCTATGCTTTTGTGTTAGATTGTATACCAAACTTAAAAGTGATTTACACACCAACATTGCAATACTATTCTGTATTTTTCTTATGTATTTACCTTTACCAGAGAGCTTTATATTTTTATGTGGTTTTGTATTGCTGTCTAGTGTTCTTTTGTTTAATCTTGACTCTCTTTAGCATTTCTTGTAGGGCAGATCTAGTGTTAATGAGCCCTCTCAGCTTATGTTTATGTGGGAAAATTTTAACTTCTGCAGTTTTGAAGGACAGTGTTGCCAGATACAGTGTTCTTGGTTGATAGTTTTTTCCTTTCAGCACTTTGAATATATTATCCCACTCCTTGTGGACTGCAAGGTTTCTGAGGAGAAATACGCTGATAATCTAATAAGAGCTTTCTAGTACATGACGAGTTACTTTTCTCTTGCTTTTTTCGAGATTCTCTCTTTGACTTTTGACAGTTTGATCATAATGTGTTTCAGTGTGGGTCACTTTGATTTATCCTTGTTGGAGTTTGTTCAGCTTCTTGAATTTGTATATCCCTTCCTCAACTTTGGGAAGTGTTCAGCCATTATTTATTCACCTGAGTTCATACCCCTTTCTCTTTCTCTCTCTTCTTTCTGGGCCTCCCATAATGTATAAATTGTTCTGTTTGATGGTGTCCCATAAGTTCCTTAGGCTTTCTTCATTTTTCTTCATTCTTCTTTCTTTCTTTTTTTTTTGTCCTTTTTGAGACCGGCCGCACCGCGCTCAGCCAGTGAGCACTGTGAGCACACTGGTCATCCCTATATAGGATCCGAACCCACGGCGGGAGCACTGCTGCGCTCCCAGCGCCGCACTCTTCTGAGTGTGCCACGGGCTTGGCCCATTCTTCTTTCTTTTTTCTCCTCTGAGTCAATAATTTCAA